CGCGGGCACCGCAGCTGTTTGCCCCGCGGCGGGCGCCCGCCGTGCCAATGCCCCCAGCGCCAGGCCTCTCCCCTGGCGCGCCCGCGGCTGCCCCTGGCCTCGCCTGGAGCTGCTGATGCGATTCATGTCGACAGCGCACGTGTCGCCTTCCTGTGTGGCCTCGCTGTCCCGAGCTGCCCGTCACCGTGCCACCACGCATGGACACCCTGGAGACGCTCACCAGCCTCTCCGCGGCCGCAGGGGCCAACTTGGCAGCGCAACGGATCCGCACCGCCGCTACGGTGCGCACGCCCCTTCGTAGCCAGGCTGCCGCATACTGCCCTGCTGGTCCTCTCGTCTCGCTCGACATCGACGGCTCCGACGACCTTGCCTCGTGCTTGTCGGGCAGTGGGGCTGCTACGGATCGTGGGTGTGACGTTCCTGGAGCCGCGGTTCTTGGTACTGCTCGCGCTGGCCGTGCTGCTGCTGTCCCACGTCGTGGCTTTCTCGGTGACCATCGCCCTGAAGTGGGTGACGGAGTCCATGATGTCTCTCCTCTTGGAGGTGCGGCTGATGATTCTCAGGCCGTTCATCGATGCGACGAAGGGTGCCCGCAATATGGACGTGGTGCTCGTGTCGACGCCGTTCATGGACCCCCTGATGGCGCTCCTCCTCGCCCAGTTCCTGGGTCGCGTGGGCGAGTTTTGGCCCGCGACCTTGGCATGGCGTTCCTCGGCCACTACCTGGACCTCCTGGGCGCGTCTTCAAGGTTGGTGCTCTGCATCGTCGTGGCGGTCCTGGCGGTGCGGCTGCGCCTTCTGCGACCCCTCATCACATCGCTGGGCCACGTCCCGTGCCTGGACCCCGTGGTCGCTTGTTCTCTGGATTGGTTGCCGTGCGAGCTGGAGTTCTACCTTGCGATGGTGATCCTCGCCGCAGTGGTCTCGGACGTGGTGATGGGCCTTCTCTCTGCCCCATTCCTGGGCCTCGCGGGCGCGTGTTCTCGGGCGCGTCCGCTGATGGGCCTGGCGCTCATGCTCGTGGTCTTCGTCGCGGGGGCGCTGCTGTGGATTCCTGTTCGCTTCGGGACGGCACTGGAGCAGACGATCAACGCGCATCCTCACTCTTCGACTTCGCCGCCCTGGAAAGGGCTTGGGAGGCGGCTGCGAACGAGATCATCGGGCTCATAGCGCACACTTCGGATGAGAACGACCTGGCCGCTGTCTCTGATGCATCGCACGTTAGAGAATTTGCGCTTGTTCTCTCTCGTTCTCGAGGGAGTGGCTTCGGCGGTCTTTCCGCGTCTGGCGGAAGGCACGGCCTGGAGGATAGCACGAGCTGTGCAGTCCCAGGTGACGCCACATACCTCCTTCAGGGAGTGGCTTCGGTGGACTCCCCTTGCACTAAGGGGGGCACAGTCTGGAGGGTAGCGCCCAGCGCCGCCCCAGGTGATGCCGCACACCTGAATGCTCTTGGCTGACCCTTGTGCAAGAGCTGTTTTTCTCTCCTTGTGCCCGCGCCTCGCCCCGTGATCCTCGCGGTGGGGGCGTGACGGCTGTCGGGCTCGCGGGAAGGGGCTTGCCCCCTCTCACTCTTTTGGGCGTATGCGCGCGCTCCCAGGTAGTGCCGTACCTCCTCCTCCTCCTCCTCCTCCTCCTCCTCCTCCTCCTCCTCCTCCTCCTCCTCCTCCTCCTCCTCCTCCTCCCTCCTCCCTCCTCCCTCCTCCCTCCTCCCTCCTCCCTCCCTCCTCCCTCCTCCCTCCTCCCTCCTCCTCCTCCCTCCTCCCTCCTCCCTCCCTCCTCCCTCCCTCCTCCTCCTCCTCTCCTCCTCCTCCTCCTCCTCCTCCACCTCCTCCTCCTCCTCCTCCTCCTCCTCCTCCTCCTCCTCCTCCTCCTCCTCCTCCTCCTCTCGCCACTTCGGCCGTTGTCCGCTGGCGCTGAAGGGCGGTCGCATGCGGAACATATGGAAACGAAACGGGGGACTAGGCAGTGACCCCTGACAGCAGAGGTATGTTGATTCAGTCTCACCTTGGCAAGGTACACGGTGCCACGCTGCAGGACGCCCTTGCCGAGCACTACCCTCGAGCTGTTGCTGACACTCAGTGCGGTGCCATTGCCGGTAAAGGTACCTCCACTGCCAGTTACGCGGCTCAGCTGCACTCGGAGTTGGCTCGTTCGCTCCGTATTTCCTTTGCTCGGATTCTTGTCGACCTGTCAGCGATCTTTGATACGGTCTGCAGGGAGCTTGCCGTGGTGCAGTCGTTCCAAGATCCAGCTGCTACCGCGCAGGCTTTGAGCGACATCTGTTTCCCCGAGCCTGTGTGCGGCGCAGTGCATGACTTGATTGCTGAGTAGTCTAACTTACTGGTGGATGCCGGGCTGACCCCAGCAGTTTCTCAGCTGGTTGACGCCCTGCATCAACACACTTGGCTCGTTGTCTCACCGGGAATCGCTGCGCGGCTCGTCCTCCGTCGCCCGCACCAGGAAGGGGGCTCGGCAGGGCTGCAAGACAGGCGCGCTGATCTTCAACGTTACCTACGAGTATTACCAGCCTCGAACGTATCCCTATCCTTAAGATTGACACGCCAAAGGGCGCTGACAATCTTAGGGATTCGCCCTCAACAAAATAAGGGAATCCTTAAGATTGGCATCGTGATGAGGAGGTGCCCAGCATAGGGATAGGGATATGTTCCAGGCTGGTCAGAGTACGCTCTGGGCAGGATCCGCACGCAGGCCTCCGACGCAGGCACCCTGCACGAGGGCGAGGGCTCCCAACCGTGCCCGTGGACGTGGGCCGACGGCGCCACACGGCCCGAGACCGAAGGCGACGTGCCTGCAACCTCGTGTGGTACTGAGTAATGCGGGATGACGATTGATTAAAAAATAGGAGAGAACGATTAAACAAATATTTGTCTGCTATTTCTGCACAATTTTCTGACTGCAGGAGAACGCTTTTTTGTTAAAAAATCCAGCCCGCGGCCGGTTTTTTCTAATCGTCATCCTGGGCGCCGTCGCGTGAACACGACCCCCAGTCATTCATTAATCGTCATCCTCAGTTACGTCGACGGTGTGCTGTTCACGCTACTGCATGCGGACCCGCGGCAGCTCGTGCACGACACCCGCGTGATGTTGGCCATCATCCTTGCTGGGTTCAGGTGCTGCGGCATGGAGTGCAACCTGGCCGCCCGCAAAACGGAGGCCACCTCATCGCTCATTGGTGAGGGCGCTCGCAAGGCCCGGGCGCAGCTGTTCGACGCCACCGTTGAGCGCCGTTGCTCTGCTACTCTGGATGGCCATCGACGTATCGGAGCCGTGAGGGAGCACAAGCACGTTGGCGCAGTTCGCACAGCGTCCGGCAGCAACATCCCTGATGCCAGGGCCAAAGCATGCAAGTGCCTTGCTGCCTACTATCCCCTGGCCCATCGGAGTTTGGGTAACGCTGGCATCGCGATTTCGACGAGGCTAAGCTCGGCACACTCCCTCTGATTTTCGCGTCTGTTCTACGCCACGGAATCGTGGCTCGCCCCGCACGCCGACGCAGTGAGAATTCTGAATGAGGCCCTGCTTCGCATTCTCAGACAGGTGGCAAACAAGTGCCGATTCCAGAGTACAGGACACGGAACTGATGCCAGCGTGCTTGAGGCGTTCCAGCTCCTCCTCACCGACTTGCACCTACTAGTGTTTCGCTTGAGGTCAGTTGTTGAAGGTGCTTGGCGCAGGGCCACCGGCTATCGTGGCACTCTTGTTGTCGAAAACGCGTTTTCTCGGAGCAGCTGGCCTGTGATTTGCAGTGGGCTCACGAACCCTCCTCGGCACTACCAAGTCTTCCCGACCCCTGCCTCGACCCTCAGCCCTGGCTCGCTCTGCTCGGCGACCATACTGGCTGGGCTTACGCAGTGCCTCAGGCCTCCACGACGGCCCGGGAGGGTCCAAGATGCCTCCAGGTCGGCCCCAGAAGCCTCCAAGACGGCCCCCAAGAGGCCCCCAGGAGGCCTCCAAGACAGCCCAAGAGGCCTCCCTGAGGTCCTCCAGGAAGGCACGAAGAGGCACAAATCGCTGATTTCCCGCAGGTGTTTAAAAGTTGGTCCTGTCTTTCCTTATTTTCGAGCTTCCGACAGCCCGATACGGCCCGAGAGCCCCCAAAGATCGCCCCAAGACCGCCCACGAGGCCTCCAGGATGGCCCCAGACCGGCCCAAGAGGCCCCCAAGACTGCCCCAAGAGGGCCCCAAAACAGCCCAAGGGGCCTCCAAGACGCACAAGATGGGCTCCAAGACGGCCCTGGACCACCCCAAGAGGACCCCAAGTCGGCCCAGAGAGGCCCCCCAACGGCTTCCGACGGCGTCAGACGGCCCAGGAATGCTCGAAGACGGCCAAAGAGGTCCCCGAGAAGCCCCCAAAGGCTCCCAAGAGGCCCAAGGAGGCCCCCAAGATGCCTCCAAAAGGCTCCCAGGAAGCTCCAAGGAGGCCCCATGAGTGCCCCCAGAGGCTCCCAAGATGCCCCCTCCTCCTCCTCCTGCTCCTCCTCCTCCTCCTCCTCCTCCTCCGCCTCCTCCTCTCCTCCTCCTCTCCTCCTCCTCTCCTCCTCCTCCTCCTCCTCCTCCTCTCCTCTCCTCCTCCTCCTCCTCCTCCTCCTCTCCTCCTCCTCCTCCTCCTCCCTCCTCCTCTCTCCTCTCCTCTCCTCTCCCTCTCTCTCCTCCTCTCTCTCCTCTCCTCTCCTCTCCTCTCCTCCCTCTCTCTCTTCCGCCGCCTCCTCCTCCTCCTCCTCCTCCTCCTCCTCTCCTCTCCTCCTCCTCCTCCTCCTCCTCCTCCTCCTCCTACGCCTCCTACTCCTACTCCTCCGCCTCAGCCTCCTCCTCCTCCTCCTCCTCCTCCTCTTCCTCCTCCTCCTCCTCCTCCTCCTCCTCCTCCTCCTCCTCGTGATCATCCCCGCCATCCTCCCCCGAGTGTTCCCCAAAGGGTTTCTACAAAGGCTGGGGGAACACATGGCCTGATAGCTTGGCAGCGCTCTTGCCACAACGCTCGGCCACATTTGCGATTCCAAATGGCAAGGGGCGGCGGAAATTCGCCGCAGGCGTCTTCGGTAACGCCAACGTCTCAAGATGCGCTGATGATTCCCATCCGCCCCCGCATGGTGTTCCCAGATGCGCCAAGGCAGCGCCGAGACGCACCGACGCGATTATGATACATCCCCTTCTGATAGAGGAGGAGGCCGGCGGCAGGGGGCGGAGCGAACTTTCCAGCCGCCCTGGGGCGTCCTCGATGGCGGGAATGTGTATGTTGTACCGTTTTCCGCCCGCCAGCTCAAGCGTGCGCATCACGCTTCGGCCTGCAAAAAGCTGCTGTGACTCCCTGTCGGGCCAGCTCACTTGAAAAAACCTCCCTGCCAAATACACAACCAAGCTGGAACCTGGTGCGATCACGGCGAGGGCACTCAGCGCTTGCCCATGGAGGCGTCGCGGTTAGTCATGTGGTACTGCCTGGCCGGGGGCAGGTTGGCGAAAGTCTTCAGCTCCGTTTTCTCCATGTACTTGGCGTACAGCGTCTTCACCTTGTCCACCTGGCCGTCCGCCGCAGCGTCCAGGAGGTCCTCAGAGACCTCCGTCTGCGCCGCAAAGTCCTTCGGCTGGTTGCGCCAGAACGTGTTGAGCATCTTGAACTTGTTTTCCTTGGCCAAGACGGCCTTCATGTCGCCGGAGTCGACCGCACTCTGGAGCTTGATGATGGCTGGGCCGTACCTCAGGGGACTCGTGGATGAGAACCGTACACGTCGTTCATTTCTAATCGCGCTCACTTCTAATTGTGCTCGTTTCTAATTGTTCCTGGCCCCCTAGTGGTCAGGAAGGGGCCCAGGATAGAAGAATTAGAAATGAAAGGATCTTGGCCCCCCAAAAAATCAAAGAACTTTCGAAGAATTAGACATGAACAATGTGCACCCACGTCCACGGCCTCGCGGGCCGGCCCCCAGGGCCGCGAGCCCGTGGATGCGGCGCGTTTTTTTTCTCCGCGGCTGCCCCGCGCGGAACGTACCCGTGCGACCGCGCGTCCAGACAGCGAGGGCACGGGTGTGGGCCCTGGCGTCCGGCTGCTCCGTTTTCTGACGTGGGCCCCGGAGGTCTGGACCACTTCTTCCCCGAGGCCGTCGTGTCGTCCAGGGCCGTTTTCACTGGCGCTCCCGAGGCCTGGCAGTGGGCCCCCAGAGGCCGGAAACGGCCAAGAACCGCCCGCCCCGATTTCCGTTGGAGCGTCGGCTCTCTGGCGACGTCGCATTTTTTCGCGACGTTGGCCCTCCGGGGATCTGCACCCGTTCCAAAAGACGGGGGGGAGGAGGAAGAGGAGGGCGAGGAGGGAGAGGAGGAGGAGGAGGAGGAGGAGGAGGAGGAGAGGAATGGGAGGGGTGGGCCCCTTCCCAAAGATCTGCTACTCATCATGGAGGGTTCTTCGACGCCCCCGGGGCCAGGATGCGGCACCCAGAGGCTGAACCGCCTCTCATGAAGGGGCCCTGGGACACACAAATAAATACACACAAATACAAATATTCCCTATATTTTCCCATATTTCCTGGGTTTTTGTCTTCCCCCCCACTTCCCATATTTTCCCATATTTTCTGGGGAATCGCCGATTAATTGTGTCTGTGTGTTTCTTTCCCTCCTGATCTCAGCTGGCCGTCCCTCTGTTGTTTTTGTTTCGTCCGCCAGGGTGAGCAGCATGCCTGCAGCAGCTTGTCTGCAGTGGCGTGCCCGATCTCGTCGGCTTCACGACCTCGCAGCAGCTTGCCTGCAGCTCTCGTTCTTTCAGGGGCTGTGCTTCGCTGCGTCTGCCCCAACGCCGACTCCACTTGCGGGGCGCGTGCGGCCTCCGCGCGCGACCGGACCCTGCCTTGCTGGGCGCTTCAGACTTCGCTTGCCCGCGAGGATCTGAAGGCTACGGCAGGTTCGCGCCGCGTCGGCGCGCGCAAAGGCTTTCGACACCGCGTCTTCAACCTTGAATCGACCGCGGCCCCGATAGTGCGAGGTTGACTTCCGTCGGGGCCAACAGCGCTACAGTTTCCCTCGGAGCCCCCGCGTCGCAGAATTCAGGTCTGAACGCCTTCGCCAGCGTCGCCGGCGCGCCAACGCCGCATGAGCCTACCGTAGTTCGTTCGTCGCCCCAGAGCTGAGGGGAGCCGAAACAGGGGGACTGGCTCAGGAGAGAAGACATAGGGCGGCGAAATTTATACTAGAACCACGCGCGCTTCGCGCGCGCTTAGGTTCTAGTCGCGCTCGAGGATCTATCATGGTACCCGGGCTGTGTGTCAGAGACCTCTTGGGTGTTCGTCGGCACCTCTTGGGAAGCCTCCCTGGAACTTCGTCGAGAGCGGCTGTGAAGCCTCTTGGGGGCTGTTTGGGGGCTTCTTGGGGCCTCTTTCGGGCCTCTTGGGGGCCTCTTGGGGCCTCTTGGGGACCTCGAGGCGCATCGTCGGGGCTTCTTTGGGCCTCCTGGGGGCCTGGGTGTGCGGAAGGCTGGAATTGTGGGTTCGTGTTCCCCCTCTTGGGGCCCTCTTGGGCCGCACTGGGGCGCCTCTTGGGCCGTCTTGGGGGGCCTCTTGGGCCGTCCTGCGGCCCTCTCGGGTCATCTTGGGGCTCCCGAGAGGTCTCTGACGCCGTCTTGGAGCGTTCTTGGACCCCTTGCGGGCCGGTTCGGGGCGGTCTCGGGCGCCTCTTGAGCCGCCTAGGAGCGTTGGAAGCCCGAAGCGGTAAGAACGCCAAAATCCTTCAATGTGCTATGGAAAATCTATAACCTGGGCCTCCTGGGGCCATCGTCGGGGTCCTCTTGGAGCCTCATTGAGCCATCTTGGGGGCCTCTTAGTCCGTTTGGCAAGCCTGATGATTTTCTTCCGATTGTTGTGCGGAGCAGCTCTGCAGCTCATCTGCAGCTCGAGTCAAGTCAAGAAACTCATCATCATCTCCAAAACAATTTAGTAGAGTACTTTTGCGGGCCTAGCTCTGGTAGCAGACCGAGTTCAGACATCTAGATGCTTCTTGGGCCGTCTGAGACCCCTGGAGGCCGTCTTCGGGGAGGCTCGGAGCCGTCTCGGGCCGCTGTGGACGCCTGCTTGCTCGCTCCGGTCGCCGCTCTGCGGCCCCCCCCGCAGCGGGCCCGGCCCCGAGGCGGCCCGAAGAGGGTCGCCCCCCCGCCGGGACGAACACGAGGACCATGACAGCGACACCATGACAGCCACCGAGGCGCGGCCGCGCCTCGGTGGCGAGCGCCTCGGGGGCGCCTGGGTCGTCCCGAGCGGCCGCCGGAGACCCGAGATCTGACCCCAAAAACACAAAAAACAAAAAAAATGCGGACATCCATGCAACATGCACGCGATTGTGAGTTGAAGTACTGTAGCCACTTGGGGCTTAAGAACATGCCATCCATCCATATCAGCATGGTAGCGCGGAGCGTGGTTCCCTGACCGCAGAGTCTGCCCGCATCGGCCATGGAGGAGGCTCTCAGGGCGATGGAGGCCAGGCTGACGGCGGCGGAGCAGCAGATTGCAGACAGGACGGCCGAGCTCACTGAGGCCAGGAGGGTCATCGACCAGATGAGCACCGCGGGCCCCGCTGCAGCAGGAGCCGCAGCCGCTCCTCAGCAGCCCAGCCGCGGCGAGAGCTCCCTCGTGGACACGAGGGCGCTGGGCAAGCCGCCGCTGTTCTCGGGTGACCTGACGGCGGACGGCAAGCCAGAAGGAGGTCTAGCGTGGCCGCAGTGGTCATTCACATTCAGGGCATACGCTGGCGCGTTCGACCCGACGTGCAGGGACGCGCTGGAGTATGCAGCCAACAAGGTCGACGACGAGCAGCAGATCAGCAACGTGATGATGGATGTGAACGACAAGAAGCTCTCGTCGCAGATCTACTACGTGCTGGCACTCACGTGTCGTGGGCGAGCACTATCTGTGGTGCAACGAGTCCCAGAGGGCTGGGGGGTCGAGGCTTGGAGGCAGCTGTGCCGCGAGTTCGAGCCCAGGCTGCCGAGCCGCTTCCAGGGCATGCTACAGAGGCTGCTCGACCCCGTGCGAGGCCCCGACATGTTGGAGAGTATCTACACCTGGGAGCGCCAGCTGAAGGCCTATGAGGAGCAGTCTGGTGACCAGATGGCTGACTCAATCAAGCTGGCGACTTTGACCAACAAGCTCTTGGATGGGCCCCTGAAGACCCACGTCAACCTCCAGGTAGGCCGCTTGCAGACGTACGAAGCCGCGAAGGCCGAGGTGATCTCATACCTTCGCGCGACGGCCAGCCAGGAGGAGGAGCCAGTACCCATGGAGCTGAACCCTGTGACTGGAGAGCTGTGCCCTATGACACGGGGCAAGGCCGGCAAGGGCAAAGGCAAGGACAAGAGCGGCAAGGGAAAGAACCACGACGGAAAGGGTAAGAGCAAGAAGGTCTGTTTCTACTGCGCCAAGCCGAACCACACGAAGCAGGAATGCAGGATCTTAGCGAAGGACCGAGCGAGCAAGGACATCAAGCCAGACAAGTCGGGACGCTACGCAGGCAAGCCAGTCGACAAGGTCACAGGCAAGCGCCTCGAGAGCGAGAATGGCGACACAGCGGCGGTGACGGCCCTGTCCGACGATGACTACTACTACGACGAGCAGGATGGCTTCGTGTTCGCGCTGATGGAGGGCGGGAACTCCAACGAGATCGAGACGGGTTACTGCTGCGCCCTCGAGGGCGCCGACTTCGACCTGCTCTTTGACACGTGTGCTGCAAGGAGCGTCTGCCCACCTTCGTGGGCGCCTGAGGTGGCCATCAAGGAGTGCCGTGGGACGGTACTCTACCAGGCCGACGGCAACGAGCTCAAGCACTACGGGAAGAAGGAGGTGAGCATGACGGACCAGAACTCTGGCGAGCCATTGACGGTGAAGTTCGAGGCCAAAGGGGTGCGCAAGCCGATCATGGCGGCGAGTTCTGCAGTTGACGCGGGCTACGGTGTGTGGCTGTACGACGGAGGCAGCTACATCGTGAAGCCCGAGCAGGCGAAGGACTTGGCGAGCCACGTGAAGGACAACATCGGCAAAGGCAAGTCCATCGAGCTGAAGCGGAAGAACGGCATCTTCGTCATCCGAGCTCGTCGGTGCTCGACTGGCGAGCTGTGCCCGACGACGGAGAAGAGCGACGAGCCGAAGGATGTTGGTGGACGGCCCAAGGTGGAGCTCGAGGACAGCGAGGAGGCCAGGAGCGCGACCACCAAGAAGGTAGCGGTCTGGCCGAGCGCAGACGAGAGGGCGAAGCACGAGGTCACTCACTGTCCATTCCGTGCCTGGTGCAGGTACTGCTTGACGGGCCAGGCGACCGAGGATCAGCACAGGAGCCAGGAGTCCGCCTCGACCGTCGCGAAGCTCGCGCTGGACTACTGCTTCCTAGCGCGGGAGGGCGAGCTGCAGAAGGCGACGATACTGGTCATCGTGCTGAGGCATCCAGGTGCTGTTGGAGCCACGCAGGTGCCGAAGAAGGGAGTTGACGACGTTGCAGTGGAGTTCGTACTCTTCCACCTCGAGGCATGGGGTGTTGGAGAAGTCGTCCTGCGGGCGGACCAGGAGCCCGCCATCCAAGCACTTCTAGGCGAGCTACGCCGACGTCGGGTGGAGCATCACCGCACGACAGTCGAGAAGTCCACGAAGCACGACAGCAAGGCGAACGGCATGATCGAGGCTGTGGTGCGCAGAGTGGAGTCACTCACCCGCACGTACGTGGCCGTCATC